TTTTTTTTTTTTTTCTCTCTGATGTAATGAATAGTATATCGATAGGATGATCCTTTGGCATTTCTTATACGTAAACATTATTTATCTATTTGGTTATATCGAAGTAAGTGTTACGATGTGTGCATCTTTTTCATTATGTAATGTTATTATTGCCCGAGAATTTGAAAGAAGATCGAATGTTTGATTTTGAATGTATATTAAACAAAATAAACTTTCCATAAATTATCACAAACTAGTGAATCATTAATACTTGATTGTTAGATGCAGATGTCTTTGACTCTTTGCACATGTTATAACATTTGCCTGTATACACGACAGTAAATAAAAGGGAAATTTTCATATATCCTACATGATTCTAAAAATATTGCAAATATACAACCCATAAACAAATAATTACAAACATACCTAATACATAATAAGTAACATTAACACTTAAATTCGGTTACTATAATCTTCAACATTCATTCCCCTTTTTATGGAATTGATTAAGAGAGAGAAATGAAACATACCTATAATAAATAACTAACTCATTTAATTCCGAGCAATTGGAATTCTTTAATTCACGCAGTTGTCATATGGTATATATTGAGTATATGTTAGTATATATTCAGTATATGTGCGCAGCTAGAATTCTTTAATTCACGCAGTTGTCAGATGGTATATATTAAGTATATGTTAGTATATATTCCCTACAGCTGGAATTTCTTAATTCACGCAGTTGTCAGATGGTATATATTGAGTATATGTTAGTATATATTCAATATATGTGCGCAGCTGCAATTCGTTAATTCACGCAGTTGTCAAGTGGTATATATTGCGTTTATGTTAACATATATTCAGAATATGTTGCACTGAAGAAAATGTCTTCCATCAAAAAATTATATTTTACTCTCTTTCTTTCTTTTATACATAAAAGTGTATATATAGTTTAAAAACATATTATAACAACTTACTTAATAAACCATACATATACACAACAACAAAAATTAATTTATGATAAATATAAACTAATTTTATACATAAAAACTATGTCTCGCTATAATTTTCTTTATCATCGAAAATATAATGAACATATACCATACATATACATAAAAACTAGTTTATTTTTAGTTTATTAACAGTATATTTCTAGTTAAAAAGATATCTTTCACGTTTTATGAACAATATATCTTTCACATTTTTATTAAGAGTATATTTATAGTTTATTAACAGTATATTTTTAGATTAATTTTCTTTTAGTCTCCTCCTTAAGAATTTGACTTTCCAATTCAATGGTTATTCACCGTTCATCATTTTTAAATAAGTTTGGCATATGAAGATTTTGGTGATCCAATTAAAACACGTCAAATAACAAATAAGAGAAGCAAAAAAGAGGAACTTTCGTTCATTTCTAAGTTATTGCGAGCCCCATACCAAAGCCTGACAAAAAAAAAGACAATTTTTCCTTCTTCCTTTTCTTATGCTCATTGGACCGTGCCAAATTTATCCTGGTAAAACCATAATACGCATACAAAGCTTCGAGAGAGAAAAAATCACGCGATCCCACACACTCTCACTCTTTCCAACAGGAAGCTTGTTTTCTTGTAGCCGCTGGGAGATTAAAAGACAGCAAAGCATCTAGAATTTTTTCTGTAAAAATCACAAGAATTTAGTAACAAGAAAATTAAAAAGATTAGCTTAGGTTGTTGCCCATGACGTCGTCCTTCCAGGAAAGGATACCGATTCACCGAAGATTGGATGGCAGAGAGAGAGAGAGAGAGATAGAGAGATCTTGTGCTTCGACGGCTTGTCGTCGGCGCCGCTTCTTGATTTTCGCCTTCGATAGTGTGGGTGTGTGTGTGTGTGTGTGAGAGAGAGAGAGAGAGAGAGAGAGAGAGAGAGAGAGAGGGATTTTACCTTTTCCCTGGGAGAATGAATTGGGTGGAAGTTGAAATGACACGCATCAGATAAGATAATATCTTTTGGGAAATTATTGCCCATTCAATGAGGCAATATTCTCCATAATTAACAAAAATAAAAATCTGGCATAAGTGTAAATAAGTATGCATAATTTAGTATAGTTGCAAATAAATATTTATCGGGTGTAAAAATATAATATAAAGTGTATTGAATGGTATATGGTGCAAATTCCTCTAAATAAAATTAAATTACTAGACTTACAAATCGGATATATTGAAAGCTCCATCAGTGAAGGAAGTCATTGTGGGCCGTTCATATGCCCATTAATTACCCATCAGCAAAGCCCAATCCAGTAAGATGAATATAATATCCACATGGCCCAACATAGGTCGAAGAAAAACCCTAACCCTAATTCCCAATTAACAAAACCTTCATTTGCATCCTAGTCTCCTCCTACCACACAGCCTCTCCTCAGGTAGAGACAGACGCATTTAGCAGATCGCCGTCGAACATGGTGAGCGCCGCGCATATATTCACCATATTCACCCTCTCTCTATCTCTCTCTATCTCTCTCTCTGTGTGTGTGTGTGTGTGTGTGTGCGTGTCTCCGTGTTTGTCCTTGATATTGTAATTGTGTACATAACAATGGCAATTGTATGAATTTTGATTATCTTCAATTGCTTCTGGTCTGTAAGCCGTTCAAGAGGTACGTGGAAATCGGGAGGGTGGCCCTCGTCAACTACGGAAAGGACTATGGAAAGCTTGTCGTCATCGTTGACGTAATCGACCAGAACAGGGTATGTGTTGTTCGCCGTGTTCTTTTTTTTTTTTCTTCAAGTTTATGCCTTTTGATTTGCTTTACATTTTCGCTGTAGTTTACCTTTTTCACGAGCTGGTGTGCTTTATTTCTGCTGATTGATTGTCTTATTTAGCTCCATTGTTCAAGATTTGTGCTTTATTGTGGACCCAGTTTATGTTTCATGTTCGGGATTACAGATAGATTTATTTTTTTTCGCTGTTCTCTGATAGCAGCTCTTTGTAGTGGGATTGATGTTTACAGTATTACA